CACTGTTGTTACCGTAACAAGAATCACACGCAAAGGAAATTCAAATTGTTTATGCTAACTGCTACCCCTTGGCCTGTGTGGTCAAGTGGGTGAAGCAAAAACCATCAGCTGCTGTTTTTTGTGCTTCTTTCCACACTCCCCTCCCACCAGTCCTCTCTCCAGGAGACTAAGGGACCTCATCTCTGACCCTAGTTCAGACACAGACAACAGCTAAGGCACAACTAAATGTAATGATGGCCTTAGGCCTTAGCCTAAGCAACTTCATTTAAAAACTCCAGTGTGAAAACTGAAGTCTAACCAGGCATGCCTAAGGAGCCTTCCAGTATGGCCCTCAAGCACAAACAAGTCACTAATCCCCACCTTGATAAACTCAGAGTGAAGTCAATGGTATGTTGCCCTAACTCTGATAAAAGCAAGAAACAAGAAAATCAGGGTGGGGACTACCAGACCAGATGCTTTAATCACAGTTCGAATGACATCACTTAGAAATCCCACAGCAGCTGATAGGGATTGAAAGGGTGGTCAGAAGCCCCAAAATTTAGTATAAATGATGGAACAAATGAACAGACTTTCAGCCAACCGACACTGATGCACACAAGCCTGAGCACCTGAGGAGGACCTAGACTGACATCCCAATTCGTATCATCTGCCTGATCCTCTGCATTGTTCTCACCACTCTCAAACTCTACAGCAGCCTCTTGACTCTGGTGAGAAAAGGACTTCTCCCTATGACCACCTCCTCAGCCAGCTGTCAGCTCTAACCCAGGAGAAGTCTGCCTTGGTCCCTGATCTAATCACCACAGTCTGAGTGAGTGTGCATCTGCTGGACTTAGATCCTAAGGCTTGAGACTTTTGATCTGACACTTGAGCTTAGCATGCAGAGGGAATGTCTGTCATGAGCCTGTCATAATTAAGTGTGTCTGCAGTGCTTAGAATTAATCTAGAATTGTTTGCTGTGAATTGATTGTGTCTATTGTAGTATCTAGCATTAAGGCTTGTCATTTTCTTGATTAAGAACCTTAATAACCTATAGAGTGAAATTATATTGAGTGATTTGAGTGAATAAAGTATTGAAAAGGGCAGAAACATGTGGACATTCTTTATTTCTCCCCCTCGACTGCATAAGTCACACCTTTTGCCCATCATGACACTAAGCAAGTGGGCAAACAACTTTTTAAACTAGTTATAGATAAATGGTGCTACATTATTGCTGATCATTTTATTTTTCATCAATATATTGCAATGCTTGAATTTCTTACATTAAAATTAGCAAAACGTGAAGCCATTTTTCTTGACTTCAAGATTCATATGTAATTTCCATTTCATTATTTTCTGGGTTAACTTTATATCTTGAAAAACACTATATATTATTAAATATAATAATATTATATTTAAAGAGAGCTCTGTGGGGCTGGGGTTGTGGCTCAGTGGTAGAATGTTTGCCTAGCATGTACAAGGCCATGGGTTCAATCCTCAGCACCACATAAAAATAAATAAATAAAATAAAGGTATTGTATCCAACTACAACTAAAAAAATAAATATTTTTAAAAAGAGAGAAAGCTCTGAGTAAAAAGATGCTGAGAGTAAGTTCATGAGGGATTTCATTTTGAAGATGTAGGGGGAAAAAATCTATAAAAGGTTGTATGAATAAGTTCAAATTGAAGATAAGATAAATGCAGTAATGATTCTTTACAGAGACAAAATTATTTAAGAATTGAGCTTTTATATCACTTAATGTAAGATACTCAGAAAAGTTACAGCCTTTCTAAGAGGAATAATCATCAGTTAGTAAATTGGTTTCTTTTATCAATAGACTAGCTCTTTTGTCAACATCTCTACTTTCAAGTACTAAAAAAGAAAAGAATTTGACAAACCAAACTGATTTACCCTGGCACTAATAACTCGTGAAGTACTTGCACTAAATTTCTTACTTACGCAAGTCAAGAATAAAGATATAAACAGTTGGGCAGGGTGGCGAACACAGGCAGGAGATCACAAATTTGAGGCCAGGCTCAGCAACTTATCAAGACCCTGTCTCAAAATAAAGAATAAAAAAGGCTGGGAATATAGCATCCCTGGGTTCAGTAGCCAGTATCAGAACAAAAAGACATAAATATATGAACACTAATATACACTGCATTACACTGTTCTAATTAGAAATTAGATGATTCAATTTTCATTGGCTTCCCATTACCTACCCATCTCACATGTATGAATATAAACAATAATCTTCCCTTAGTAATATTTACTGAACTCAATAAACCACATGAACCTCCACAGTGTTCATAAGGAAAAATGAATTATAGTTTGAAAAAAAACCCACTAAAGATATTAAAATAAGTTATTTTTGTATGATTCCTTCCATAGTACAGCACTGGGCAGGCCTCTTGAGACACTCCTTCTGATGACTGCTAAGTTAAAATCACTTCTCTTTGAGGGACTGGGTATGTGGCTCTGTGGTAGAGAGCATGCGTAGGCCTTGGGTTCAATCCCAAGAATTCCCCCAATACACACACACACACACACACACATCACTTCTCTTTGAAATGGAGTGGAATTCAAGAGGCTGCAGCTACTTGCCCCAAAAGTATTAAAGAAATTTAGCCATATGGTGGCAAAGACCTCCAGAAGTAATCTGGGTTCAAAGGTGAGGCCTCTGTGTGCACTTAGAAGGAAAGAAGTGGGCTGTCCTGGGCTGGAAGCAGAATGGTAGCATTTTCGGGATCTTATTCCAGTAGGTATAGTGATTCCAAGGAGGCTCACTGCAGAGATCTGAGTTGGCAGTGACAGATGGAAACACTGCTGAGAACCGATTTCAAGTTGAAAGGTCAGGAGTTATGCACAGAGGGAAAAAGAGTATTCTTGGTTACAGATGGCCCCTGAGAATCAAAAAATAGCCACAATACTTTAGCTGCTTTATTTTGGCTTGTAGGCAAAGACCATCTAAATTAATAAGGACACTACTCGTGCCTTTTACCCAGTGCATGATCACCTTTGGATTGCTTATCTTGAGTCTGTCAGCCTGCTTTCTTCAGCATTAAGAATGAATGCTTGATAGAATAAGAGTTGTGTTTCCAAGACAGATGTGGTGGCCCACACCTGTAATTTCAACTTGTGAGGTAGAAGGATCACAAGTTCAAGGCCAACTTGAGCAATTTAGCAAGACTTTGTCTCAAGATAAAATAAAAAGGGCTGGGATGTAGCACAGTGGTAGAGCACCCATGGGTTCAATCCCCAGTACCAATATATATATATATATATATATATATATATATATATATATATATATATAAAATAAAAGAGTTTGAGTTCCCAAATAATCAGAAAATTCAGAAATCGAGGCAACTCTAGAGACTTTATAGACGAGGAGATGGAGGCATTACACAGTTAAATGAACTGAATATTTAATTTATTTAAACCTAGTAGATTATGAATTCAAGGCACTAAATATTAACATTATGGTATTTTTCTAATATGTTACACCAAATATAAAATATACATACAGCCATTTATTACACAGAAATCATGTGATAATAAAAACATATAAGTAAACATTCCACGAATAAGAAAATATATTTCTTGTAGATCATTATAGAAAATAAATGTTCACACAGGTGATTTTCTCATTTAAGAACTCAATTCCATTCATCAAAAGTACAAATTCAATTCATTTCTATTTAGGTATAAATTAAAACCTTTTATAAGCTCTTGATGTTGAAAAGACTCTCAAAAATCATCAAACCATCTTTCATATTAGGATACATGAATTTGGAAACTAACAATAATGTTTCCTGGCCTATCATCTTATTCCCTGGGACAGTAAGAGATGTTTCAAACCACATAAAAAGAAAAAATACTTATATGAGATCATGAGTGAATCCCCAAGACTCTTTCATTAAAGAATCATTCTATAAAATGAGTACATTTCATGAGAGACATTCTCAGTCTTGAATTTCATTGAAACCAGGCAGCAATAAGACTGGGACCCACAACAGTCTCCACTTGCTCCCAATTCACCAGACCCCATGTATCCATCATCAAGACTGCAGTTTATCCAACTATCAGCTGATAGTTGTATATTCAACTATCAGCAGTAGCTCTCTCTTCCCCACTCATCATATCTACTACTGTTCCTCCTGGTGGTTGGATAGATGGATGGATGAATGGAAGCATGGAATGACCAAGTACATAAAATTTTGCTCCTTTGTTGCACTATAATTCATAGGGCTTATTCAAATACCAAGATATAAAGTCTTTTTATTTTTATTTTTTCAGGATCAAATCTTTATCTACTCTTTCAGAGAAATGTTCTCTTTATTTTTCTTGTTAAACTTTAGTAACTCTCTGTACCTGGCCAATGTTTAATCATCATAACCAAAAGATATCATAATTTGAGTCACATACTTCAGAATCTGGGAATTCAAAGAAAAAATGTCTCTGTCATGATTTTAGTGGGAAAAAAAATAGAATTGTATAAAAGTCACCATCTATGTTGATTAACCTATGTGTGTGACTACTAAGAATGAAAAGGATTAGAATTCATATTAGGATGTCATGTATAACTTAAAAGAACAAATAATTTTTTTTAAAAAAAGAATCATGTTAGGACTTGATATATGCTTCAAAAGTCAAAACAAAAACAAAAGAGAGCTGAACTTTAGATTTTAAAGGATGGTTTAAGAGAGTCTATGGTTTACCTGCAAATGAAATATATTTCTGTTTTTAAAGTGACTGCTGGATTATTTCCTGTTTCTGTTGATGGAAGTGCACCTGGCCCATGGGTATACATACTAATCAAAGTCATTTCAGCAACAATTACCTGCAAGTTTCACACTGACTTTTCAAGAAAGGTATGTTTCAACTAATGGTTTTTTACCAGCACTTCCATAAACTCTCTATGCAACTCTGGAGAATAGGAGGTTGAAGATAGGTAGGAAGGAAAACTCAGTACCCAGCCCTCAGAGAGTTAACAAATAAAGTGTAGGTCTGTACTACTCACGGCTCTGCTTGTAGGCTCCTGTCTTCAGCCACGTAGTTAGAAGGAATATAGCCCTGAGATTGCTGGCTGGAGCCATCTGCCCTTTTCTCCAAGTGTCTGGCCAGCCACCAGCCCTCATGGGAAGTGTCCAGGACTTGGAGTTTGTCACCTGCACGGAAGCTGAGGTCCTCTGCTGTCCGAGCTTGATAATCAAACAGAGCCACAAAGTAGTGCCTCTGGCTTCTCTTGGGTTCATGTTTCGCAGTCTGAGGAGCTTCAGGGGGAGAGTGGGCCCCTGGATTCTCAATTACCACCGACTTGTCTGCCTCCTGGGACATGCAGGGGAGACAGGGTTCCAAGTATGCCCAGAGCCTCAAACAGATATTGCCCATGGTGCCCTGGTTAGGAGAGGGGGAGAGGGCCTTCCCTCTCCCCGTCGTCTCCACAGATCCACTTTCTCTTCTCTTCTTCTCCAGGTAACTTTGAAATCAGCTCCAAATCACCATACTTTGGAGAGTGTGCTAAGTCCTGTTTCAGAGCAGTCCCCGCAGATCTGGTTGCAGCAAGCCCTGCCTGGGATTCACCTCCTGGTTTTCTTCAGCTGTAGCTGCTGCCCCAGAGCAAAATCAAGTGGGAACTGGGCAGTTGTTCAGGAGGAAAATGCCTCTTCTTCCTGTCTGTTCAAGAATCCCACAACAAAATAAAAGTAAATTAAAAGGACTTTAAATAAATATCTGAGAGCAGAAAGAGCCACCTTGCCCTTTGTCTAAAGAAAAAAGTTAGCAAGAGAAAGATACTATTTCCAGGTAAAATCTCCATGTCTCACCTGTGCCACAGCCCTCTCCAGGCTTCAAGCGTGCTCCTGTGGTTCCACCCGTCCTGATCCTGACTTTTCTTTTCTGTTTTGCGAATGAATAACCAACAGACAGAAACTATTGCCTTTAACATCCTGAGCTATGTACAGACTGTAATAATTTCTCCTTACTTCCTGGTTTCTTCTGTGATCTAAATGGGATTCCCCTCCCAGTTACCCCTCCCTTCTCACACACCCAGGATAGGCCAGCCCCCTTACCAGGGAGCCAAATTCCTTTCATTTTATCCTGGAGAAACAGGCTAGCACAGGTAGCCTGTGTTTTGCTATATTCCCAGCACAGAAATCAGGGCAGAGGATTTTTTTTTCCACCACAAATATGAGTAGAATTGTTTTGCAACCACTAGGGGAAATAAAAAAGGCAAATCAGAGTGTTCAGATATTTGTTGCCAGACACAGGGCAACTGAGAAGGAACCACTGAGTCCCTACTTTTTTTTTTTTTTTAACCACCAGGAATAGATTTTAATGGCCTTAAAGTATATTCACAGTCTGGAAAAGTAAGAGAGCAGATGACTAAAACTCTGAGAACCTGAAACACTGTTTTTTCCCACAGAGACATTTGATTTCCCATCCTTCACATACTATTTCTGAAACACACACACACACACACACACATCCACACATACATACACACACACATTAGGTGACCAGTAGAGAAAAACAAGTGGAAGGGCTCTTTGTAAACCACCATGAAGAATCTTTCTGTTAAACTTTGACCCCCAGCTCTATACTGGTTCTTTCTAACTTGGCAGGGGTGGTGGCAGAGTTCAGGGACTGAAGAGGCTGAGAACAAGACAATCATTCCAGGCAGGCCATGGGTTTTGATCTATTTCCCCTAGTTTAGGGCAGCTTTCTCACAAATGTGTTTCCTGAATCTCAAGAACAACTGGACAGGACTTTGGGCAGATCAACCAGCAGAGAGCATTACAAATTGTTCGTGATATGCCACTTGTTCCTGTATAAGATATTTATTTAAAATTTTCTCTCTTAGGAGCTGGAGGTATTGCTCAATGGTAGAGCACGTGCTTAACAATCACAAGGCCCTGGATTCAAATCCCAGCAGCAAAACAAAGTTTCTCTCTTAAAAACAAGATAAGAGCTGTCAGAGTCTGGAACCTGGCTAACCTAGCCCTAACACAATCTCAAAACTCTTGTTCTTTCTCGAATTGCAAGGCAGTTTTAGCAATTAGAATAATGAAAGTTAAAAAAGAAAGAAGGAAAAAAGAAAACCAAAGAATCATGGCCACAGCTACATTGCTCTAAAACTAGGTACAAGGGACAGATCATTTGGTTAGAACAAAATCTTGTCATGCTCCCAGGTTTCTCCACTTGTCCCCCTTGTCAGAGTAGAAGTAAAAATTTTCAGGAATAGAAAAGCTAAAAGCTGAGCTAGGTTTTTATTGTATTGCTTTGTTTTGATTTGATTTTTTTATGACATGGAACTTAAAATAGAAGGCATTTATAATTCCATATTTTATACAGAAGAGAAAAATAATAATTATGTAATACTGACAAAACATTAAATTATTTTGTTCCAAAAGCAATATGTACCCTACAAGTAGAGGATCCTGTTAATGCCCCTAAACAAAGTTGCAGATGCTGAAGTCTACATGATCTAGAGATGAAAGCAGATTTGGAAACAACCAGTGAGATGTGTCAAACCCAATTTGTAAGTGGGGCCTGAGACTTCAAAAATTTGAAGATTCCAAATTCAAATATGACTTCACTATAGTTATGACAAGGCATTCTGTAAAAAAGACAAAGCAGCAGCTTGCACGGCAGAGTCACAGAGCAAGTGAATGAAAGTGAAGAAGCAGTCAACCATCCAATGATGGCCCAAGAAGCAGAGTACAGGGTGGGAAGGGGCTTCCTCCTGCGAAGAGTACTAGGATCCTCCAGTCACCCAAGCTTGAAGGCTCGCCATCATCTTTTACTGGCTCTTTGGTTTCTTCCAGCTAATCAATCACTAAATTCTGCTCAGTCTTCCTTTACATTGACTCCACAAACTTTTTGGATTTTTTTTTTTAAGCTCCATCTGAATGACAGTTGGGCACTAAACAGAAAAAAGAGTATTTATCCCTAGACTATTCCAGAGGCCTCCTAATTGGTCTCCCTTCCTTCAGCTCATTCCTATCTCCAGCTCATCTTGCATACCAAGATAAGTGGTGTTTGTAACAGCTTATAGAGAGATGGTTATGATAGTAGCAGTGACAGAGGTGACGCAAGCACTAATTAAGAGAAGCTGTCAGTTTCAGAGGACTTTCTATGTACCAGGCACTCTGCTAAGAATGTGACAATTGACACATCATTTAATTCTCACGAAACTTTAAATAAAAAAGAAAACTATGAGGAAGGTAGTAGTTTTCATTTTATTTTAGAAAAGAAAGGCTTGAAGAGGTCAGGTGGCTTGCTTAATGTCACACAGCCATCAAATAGTTGAATGATGAGTCATGCCCTGTACTCAGTCTTGACTCCAGAGCCTAAGACTGTAAATCCTCAGTTTTGCAGATCAGGAAGAATTTAATATCATTCTTCTATGTAAAATCCTTCAGTAACCTCTAAGATGTTTGGAATAAAACCTAAACTTTTAAATATTTCACACACAGCCCTGCAAGTTCCTCCAACCTCACAGACCCTCCTTCACAGGCACACGCTCTGACAGTTCCCCAAACAAACAAACAAACAAAAAAAAAAAAACAGCTCCTGAGATTCCAGGCCCTCTTCCCACAGCACCCCTGCCTCCTCTTCTACTTGCTCTGCTGATGACTTCCTTGTCATTTTTCCAGGATGAATTGAAGCATCACCTTCTCTGCCGTAATAGATTAGTAGGACTCTGCACCCCTGAAATCTGTCATACAGTTATACTTAGTTGCTTGCTGAGTCCTTCTTGGGTTCCCATAGTTGTCTGCTTTTCCTTGGAGAATAGAATTCCCTTCTCTGAATTCTCAAAGCCTTGTACAATGTCCAGTGTGTAAATAGCAGATACTTATGAGTTGAATAAATTACTAAAGACAGAAAGAAGAATGAAGGAAAGAAAAGAAGGATAGAGGGAGGGAGGGTGAGAAGGATGAGAGGGAAGGAAGGAAAGAACAGAGGGAGAGAGGAAGAAAGGAGGAACAAAGAGGAGAGAGAAGGAAGGAAAGAAAAAAGATGAGGAGGGGAAAGGGAGAGGAGAAAATAGGAAAAAGGAAGGGGAAAAAAGGGAAGAAAGAAGGAAGAAAACATCAATATTAAGTCATAATATATTATATATGACATAATATTAAGTCAATATTCACCAACAGGAGTGAAAGGTCTATAGTTTGACAAGTGCCTTGGCACAGAGGAGTGACTTTCTGTCCTTTGTCTTAGCCCCTTCCTTTCCTTTCTTATGGTTCACTGACCTCTGGGTTCCTTTGCCAGTCTCCTAAATCTCTCCCTCTCCATCCCTCCCTCTGAGCCCCATTCTTATAGCAAATTGCCACCAGATTAATCTTCTTCAGTCACTCTCCTGCACAATAACCTTCAACACATGCTCATTGCCTAGAAGAAATTCAAAGCTAAAGAATTTGTGCTTCACTCAGTCTTTATCAGATGCACCCTTTCAACATCCCCCTCCATTAGGGGCTCACAGTAACCCTTAGGCTCAGCCAAATTGGTTTACTACTTCTCCCAATAAGACTTATCTGTTCCCATATCTAATTATGTCTCCTTTGGCATTCTTTTTCTTCTTATTCCTTCTCCTCCCAGCAGATTTCAGCCTACATTTCAAGGTACGAATAAAAAATCCCACACCTCCTTCATGCATTCCTGCCCCCAAATAATCTCTTTCTCTCTTGACAGAAAGTATTGGGCTCCACACACCCACCCCAATACACACAACATTAAATGAGTTTCATCATTCTCCTGCTATGCAAAATCCCCCAGCTATTCAGTTTCATCCCAGGATAAACTGTCAGTCTCCAGCTCTTGCTAGGTCCTCAGCACTGCTCAGCATTATTTTATATGCCAATCTGGTCAGCTGCTGTTTTCTGCAATTTCTCATAACTCTGTTAAATCACCCACCCTTCTTCTCCGGGATTCTGCTGCTACCTGCTTTCCCTGATAGCTTTGTCGTATAAATTCACTGAAATTCCAAATCTATTTGATATTAATTCACTCATTCCTTTTCTTGAATCAAAAAAAAATGTATCACAAATATTTACACTTTCTTTTCACCTATGGTGATCTTAAAAATGGAAAGAGGTGGGGAGGGGAATTCAGTCAAAGAGATATAGCCTTCAACAAATGATGTTGGATCAGTTGAACACCCATAGACAAAAAAAAAAAAAAAAAAAAATGAACCTCCACAAGACACACACAAAAAAGGAACCTCAATTTAAATCTCACATATTATGCAAATTTAACTCAAAATGGATCATGGACTTGAATGTAAAATGTACAACTATAAAACTTCTGGGGGGAAAAAGAAGAAAATATCCAGAATCTAAGTCTAGTCAGAGATCTTAGATGCTTGACAAAGAAAGCACTATTCATAAGAGGACAAATTAATAAACCTCACCAAAATTAAAAATTTGCTCCCTGAAAAACTGTTAAGGAAATGAAAACAATGAGAGAAAACATATAAAGTACTTTAAACTAAATATCTCACAAAGAATAAATATCTGGGGCTGGGGCTGTAGCTCAGTTGTAGAGCGCTTGCCTAGCATGCCTGAGGCACTGGGTTTGATCCTCAGCATGACATAAAAATAAACAAATAAAACAAAGGCAATCTGTCCATCTACAACTACAAAAAAAAAATTTTAAAAAGAATAAATATCTGAAATGTGCAAAGAAGTCTCAAAACTCAACAGTAATGAACAAAACATCCAATTTGAGAAGGTACAATGACATGAACAAACATTTCACTGAAGAAAATAAATAGATGGAAAATAAGCCCATGGAAAAAAAATGTTCAACATCATTAATCATCAAGAAAGGCAAATTAAAATAATAATGAGATAACTTTATGCACCTATAATAATGACTTAAATAAAACAGCACCACCAAGTGAGGATGGTAACAAAGTGGAGAGACTGGATCCACTCATTCCATAGCTATAGCATGAGCTATATATTCCCACTCAGAAATTGCTGATGGGAA